CGACGGTGAGTGAGTGAGTGAGTGAGTGAGTGAGTGAGTGAGTGAGTGAGTGAGTGAGTGAGTGAGTGAGAGAGAGAGAGAGAGCAGAATTGAGTGGAGCGCGCAAATCTCTCAAAGGCAGGATACGCAAAGGCAGCGTCGCCAACACACCTTCTTGACTTTGTATGGATGGGACGCAAAGGAATCTGCATCAGTGACGACAACAAGCGATGATGTCGCCTGCAGTCGCTTCACCTGTGTTTGCATCTCAGCCAACTGCACGCAACTCCTCATGTGAGCGTGTAACATGAGCAACACGAGACGAAAGGAAGGCACATCAGTGCAGGCGAGGGGTTTCGCATGCACAGTTACACGCACATGCACGCACACACATGCACGCACACACATGCACGCACACACATGCACACGCAAACACACAGGCAGAGTTACATACACACACAGATACACGCACACATGTACACATGTTCCCCCACTACCTGGTGCTGTTGGTGCTGAGAGCTGAGGCGGAACAGCAAGTTGTTCTTTCGCTGGCGCGCTCGGCGCTCTGTGGCGGAGGTGATGCGCACACGGGTGTGGGAATGGGTGAGCGAATGCGTGTGCGGGAATGGCGTTGATGTCTGTGTGCGCAATGCAGCATGGAAAAGCGACTTAATGATGACGACAGTGATGATGCAAGGAGACGGCCGATGCCATGAACGAACCAACCCGCTTCCTCGCGCGTGATGAAGTGGATCCCATCATCCTCTGCAATCAGAAACGCCTGCACATGTGCACAAGCGCACGTGAATGCAGCCGTTAGCACTGCATGAGCAAGCTAGAGAAGCAGACACACACAAGCACAGACAGACAGACAGACAGACAGACAGACAGACAGACAGACACACACATGTGAAGACACACAGGCACACACTTGTCACCCAAGGCATCTCACGTGTGGTGAGCGGGCGTGCGCGTGTGCGGCGGTGATGAGGGCGGCCGTGCGAATGCGAACGGCGGCGGGACCAGCGGGGACGTGGAGGGGAACACGAATAGGCCGAGGGCGTGGCGATGGTGCTGATGGAGGCCGGGTGCGTGGCGATGGTGCTGATGGAGGTGGGGATGGGGACGGTGCTGGCTGGTAGCGTGGGAGATGCTGTCAACAGGGGATTTCGCGTGCCACGAGAAGGGGCACCATGATGATGAAAGGATGATTTCGTGAGAAGAAGACACACACACACACACACACACACACACACACACACACTTGTCTAAGCAGAGACGGACCAGTGCTGTGCAGCCGATCAGCTCGACGTCCTCATCCACGAGTACACACGCGCGTTTGATGTCGTGCAGTTCGCGCGAGAGCGGTGACGATGATGACGACGATGGTGACGCGATTTTGTCTGCACATGTGTTGACGAGCAGCCCGACACACGTCCACAGCTGTCACGGCAATGATGATGATGATGATGATGATGATGATGATGATGATGATGATGATGATGATGATGATGATGATGATGATGATGATGATGATGATGATGATGATGATGATGATGATGATAAGGGTTACGAAGACAATGGAAGCCATGGTGATTGGCGATGGTGGCGGCGGCGGCGACAAGCAAGCATGGCAACACGAGATGATACTCAAGCGCGTGTGTGCATGTGTATGTGTATGTGTGTTCAAGCGTGGAATATGGGCCAGACCTGTTGTAGGAGCGGGTGCTCGCTGTTCTGTGCGGTCCAATTCGTCATCGTATCTGCCTCCATCCACACACACGCCAGCCGGGCGACACCAAGCAGCCTGTGTTGACGGCCCACGGCGATGCGGTCAATGGCAGTGGTGGCGCGATGACTCAACAGCAGACTGCACATGGTACATGTGTGTGCGCTTGCATATGTGCATGGGTGTGTGCGCGGACCTGCTTGCTGTTTCGTCGATTGCGGGCGACGAGTGGATCAGCCGTTGCGTGAATGTCAACACCTGAATGGGGTGCAGGGACACAGGACAGGAGAGAAACTGAGTGGAAAGCATGCACACGGGCAAATACACACGCAAACAAGCAAGGACACACACACACACACACACCACCCACCCACCCACCCACACAACACACACACACACACAACACACACACACACACACACACACACACACAACACGTACAGACAAAGAAAGCGACAGACACGGTACCTGGACGAATGTGGTGAGTGCAAAGATGACGGCAGCGGTGTCCTTCGTTGGGACGTGACGCGATGAGTGGGAACAGAACACAGCTGCAAAGCACAACTGATCACGGCGGCGGTGATGGTGGTGGTGTGGGTGGGGCTGGTAAGTCATGACAGATGTTCTGTTCTGGTGGAGAAATTGGGAGTCAACGTGCATTTGCATGTGCGTGTGTGGATGTGCGTGTGTGGGCGCGTGTGCGTGTGTGGGGGCGCGTGTGCGTGTGGGCGTGTGTGCGTGTGCTGCAACGAACCTCAAAGACGTCCTCTGTGTATACGATTCTGTCATCGCAGTCGCTGTCAGGCCGCGGTCTGAACACACGTGCACAGCAGCATGGGGGGGGGGTGGGGCATGTCAGCGGCGGTTGACGCGGTGTGCACACGAAAATGCAGAGACACGCACGCATTCACACACAGTCGTACACACGCGCACAAACACACACACACACACACACACAGACACCCAAACACGCGTTCACGCTGTGGTACCGGAATGAGTTGAATGCGAACGATGATGACATGAGCTGCAGCAGCGACTGGTGGAAGAAAGCGCCGACACCGTGAAACTCCCGCTCGCCAGGGAAACTTAATGGTACAGAAGGAGGTGGTGGTGGAGGTTGTCGTGATAGCGCCACATGTGAGTGGACAATGCATGCGCGCGCGTGTTGTGTCGTGTATCGTGCGTGTGTGTGTGCGTGTGTCGTCGTGTGTGTGTGTGTGTGTGCGTGTGTCGTGTGCGTATGTGTGTGTGTGTGTCGTGTGTGTGCGCGCGTGGTGATGGGCACCTGTCTTGGTCGAGGATCATGCGCGTGACGGCGAGGAGATGTGCAAACGACAGCTCGACGGGCGGCATGCTGGGCAGCGACAGACAACGCGGGGCGACGAAGACGATGGCGATGAGTCACCACGTGATCAGGTCATCATGTGATCGTGTGATCATGAGGTGATCAAGTGATCATGTGACCACGTGACAGGACAGATGGCAGTGATGATTGAAGGGATGAAAGCCGTACATGCTGTGGGTATGAGCAGAGCAATGGCCAGACGCATCACGACAAATGTCAAATGCCGCTTACGTGTGGTGATAGGACTGCAGGTCTCCAATCGTCGGCAGCTGACAATACCGGCACGAAGGTGTAGTTGTGCGCGTGCGTGTGTACACGTATGTGTATGTGCGCGTGTGTAATCGAAAGTGCACGAGGCAGAGTGCGTGAGGGTGCATATGCTGTTGTGATCAGGAAGCAGCAGGTGGACAGCACACAGGCACCACAACCATCAATGTGTGTGTACGCACTGTCTTGACGAGTGCGCTGAGAGCATCGACAGCGGCGGGCGTATGCGGCGGTGTTGTCGTGCAGCTGGTGACAACAACATGTGTATATGAGCAACTTGACAGGGGAATATAACGGTACTGCGCACCATTTCTGCTGCTGCCGCCACAGCGACGCAGGACAGGGCAGTGCGCATGCTTGTGCCACCACCACCACCACCACTATCACCATCACCACCACCACTATGAGCGACTACCAACCTGCGGGCCAGACAGTACAGCTTCATGGCACGTCCTCGCATCCCCGCTGCATGCTGGTGGTTGTGGTGTTGGGTTGGGACGAGCATTGCGAGCTGGGACCAGGGGTGCGCACTCGACGGCGACAGGCGGCGGGCGCGGCGGTAGGATGTGGCAGATGCACGGCGGTGGTACTCGCACGATGGTGATGGTGACGGAGATGGTGATGATGGTGGTGGCGGAAGCAGCTCCTGGTAGGCGTAGCGATCTAATGTGTGTGTGTGTGGGGGGGGGGAGATGAACGCACACGTGAGCACAGTTTGCACTGAACAGTAGATACGCGGCATGTCACGTGCAAGCACGCGTTTGCGGGGGATGGTGTACGCACGTAAGTCGCCGAGGCAGACGTGGATGGTGTGGGCGATGGTGATTGCTGCGAGCGGGATTGGATCTGGGGAGCAGCAGGGTGCAGCGTCGCACCACATGCAATGATAGAGTCAGCCGCGCACGTAGGCAGAGAAGGGGACAGAGAGCCGGGCGCATGCGCAGTTGTACAGACTGATGGGCAGTACACACACACACACACACACAACACACACACACATACATACATACATACATACATACACACACATACATACATACACACGCACGCACGCACACACACACATACATACACAGACAGTACGGAAGCCATACCTGGGCGGGATGTTGGCAAGATGGGCGGTGCACGTTCGGGCTCATCGAGTGGAAATGCAATCATTGACGACAGTCCGACGAGCACAGCATCAAACCAGCTGAAGAGCGCAGTGCAAGAGATGAGTTGTGCAGTTCGCTAGATCAACAAGCATGTGTGCGTGCGTGTGTGTGTGTATGTGTCAAGGCTTTGTACATTGGGAGGGCACCAACTTCACCAACTTCACCAACTGCACCAGCTGCATGACGCACCCAATGGCTTGCAGCAGAAAGGATCCAAGCTGCGGGTCAAGTGACGCGCTGTGTGCTGCTTGTGTCTGCCCCTCATGTGCCTGTTCATTGCGCTGCCTGCGCGTTAGGCCGCGCCACACGCTCACAATGTTGTAGAACGCATACTTCCAAACGAAGGACGCAAGCTGTTCGTCCCGCTGAGTGAGCGAGTGAGTGTGTGTGTGTGTCAGTGAGAGAGAGAGAGTGAGAGAGAGAGTGAGCGAGTGAGTGTGTGTGTGTCAGTGAGAGAGAGTGTGAGTGAGTGAGTGAGTGAGTGTGAGAGAGGGAGAGTGAGTGAGTGGTAGAGTGGTAGGCAGGAGAGATGAGAATCAGCAGCCGTTGTCCTCCGTGTCACATTGTGGAAGGCAGCGACAACATCAAAGAAATGCATGCCACTAGCAGCAGCCGAGCTTACAAAGAGAGCTGGATGGTTGAACAGGAGCCACTTTGCTTTCTCCAGCAACCTTGACAAGACGAAAGCACACCGCACATGCGATTCAGATCGAGATTGCATGTGAATGAGCAGCAAAATACAACATGCAAGGGGCAAGCACTGCCAAGCATACGCAATCTCGCATGTGCAGTCTCGTACTTGGCTCGCTGGTGCAGGATCGCGTCCGTGAACAAGTCTTGTTGTGTTCTCACGCGGCTCACGGCCTTGTGCACGCTCTTGCCGTGCTCCTTCAACCGCCTGATGACGGACATGTTACAGAGGGAACCGATTCGTTGAATGCAGACAAACACATCGTCGAGCCACAGCATTCCGCACGCATCTAGCAATAGCATTCCGCGCGCGCGCACACACACACACACACACACACACACACACACACACACACACACACACACACAAACACACACACACACAGAGTGTATACCTCAGGATGCTGTCTGCTTTCTCCATGGCTGGCTTTTCCGCGTCCAATGGAGCAAACAACGTCGTCCACAACAACAACAACAACAACAACAACAACAACCACCAGACCAAGCGTTACAGCAGCTTCCTGTTTCGTCTTCCACCACTGCCTCTGCTGCTTCCGGATTATGAGGATTCGTTGTATTTTCAACTGTTTTTCTCTCAGCCGCACGAAGATGATGATGGCGACGAGGATGAGGCATGTGGCGATGGTGGCGGCCAGGGCGACGGCAGCGGTTTCGCCTGTTGCGCGTGCGCGTGTGAGCGTGGCGGCCCTGCGCCAAGCAAGCGCAGCACTGTCCACATCAACTAGGTCCATGTTTGCGCAGCCGCCAGGTGGTGGTGCAAGTGGAGGGGACGACGCCAGGGCGGCGCGCACGCGTGCGCCAAAACAAAACAGACAGCAGCAGCAGAAACACAAGCAGCATCAGCCGCGTACGACTGGTGCACCTGGTCAGCGCATGAATGTTGCAGCTGCCACCAAGGGCATGCCGACGCCCGAGGACCAAATGGTGGATCTTGTGCGCAACGTGCTTCAGAGCCAGCAGCCGGCAGAGGCCAGCTCGCCGAAGCGTCTGCGTGAGGAGTTCAACGAGATGAAGGCGGAGCTGAAGAAGATCCAGCAACAGATTGCCGCAGCCGCGCCCATGGAGCCCGAGGAGGCAGCTGCCGAGGAGCCAGCACCAAGCGAAAAGCGTACGTCAGGCTTGCAAGAGACCGAAGTCACGGCTGCGGATGTCTTTGCGAACGCAAAGGGCGACATCAACCCAGATACAGAGATTATTATGGACCGTACGGGCCACGTCCACGTTGAGAACAGCGGCCACGTCGACTACGACATTGAGGATCTGAAGGTGTGCACACGTGCTTTGCCAGGGTGTGTGTGTGTGACTGTGAGTGAGTGAGTGAGTGAGTGAGTGAGTGAGTGAGTGTGTGTGTGTGCATGAGGGTGGGATGGGAGGCAGCGGGATTCAGTCCACTGCTTCTGTGATGACTGAGATTGACCTTTGGACCACCTGTGTTGCTTGCAGCCCATCACGTTCCAAGACCTGTCACGCATCAACATCCGCCACCACGCCCAACACTTGCGCGGTATGTATGCGCGTTCGCAGACTCTTTGCGTGCAGCGTTTCGAGGGCACACGTCTTTGTTGTTTAATTCGCGAAGTGATTCATGCATGTTTTGCACTGAGCCTTCACCTCTGTTACATCCGTACTCACTCTCTTTTCCCTTTACATATCTGTACTACACGTCTGTGTTGTGTGTTGCGTGTGTGTGTGTGGTGTGTGTGTGTGTGTATGTGTTCTCAGACCGCATGCGTGCGTGGCGTGAGCCGCTGCCCGAAGAATTTCTGCAGATTGAGACGCGCAACTACTACCATGTCGGCTCGCAGGGGTCGCACATCCCAGAGGCCCGCAAAGTCATCCTCACGGTGAGGCAGACGTGTGCGGATTTCTCTGTGCGTGTGTGTATGAACAAGCGGCGGGGGAAGAGATGGGTGGACGTATGCATGGGTTTCTGTTGATGTTCACGTAACACACACACACACACACACACACACACACACACACACACACACACACACACACACACACACACACGCACACACACACACCCCTCTCGCAGGCGAAGGTGTCGCAGCTTGGGCTCAATGCCGCCGAGCGGGAGAAGCTGTTGCAGCTCGTTGGTTCACGCTATCGTGCCGCCACGGACACGCTCAAGCTGGTTGGCCGGCGGTACCCGACACGCGAGATGAACCTCCAGTACGTCAAGGACCTCATCACCGTGCTCGTCGCAGAGGCTAAGGTGCGCCCGGGGCGGGGGATCGTTTATACACGGACGGATGGACGTGTGCGTGTGCGTGTATGGATGAACGTGTGTGGACGGGCTGGCTTTGGGTTGTGGTGATGTGGTGGTTTGCCGCAGTGTTGGGAGGTGGCATTGACTTGCTGCTGGTTGGACGAAGCGTTTACAACGGAGAGAGCGAAGCACTGAAGAGAGAACGCATGGATGAATGAAGCACGAAACGCATGTGCACACACATGCGCACACACCATACACGGCATCAGCAACAAAGGCGACAAGTCCACGGCATCCAACTATGTTATTAACAATCACCGTCACGTCGTCAAGCTATCGGATAACAGCGGCCTTCTCACAACTGACCACACACACACATGCACACATATACATACATGCACACATCAATGCACTGAACAGAACCCGGAGCTTCAGCTGGCGGAACTGCAAGAGAGCGCATGACGCAAGCAAGTGACCAGTGGTGGAGGACAAGTGCTCGAACACACCACAAGCAGTACATATCGCAATCATGACAAGACAGTAAACACGCATGAACCTCGCCATCAACGTACGCTTTCGCACACACGTATACAGCCTGAATCTTGACTATTCACAGCACGGAAGCACACAGGGGAAAGAGAAGAAGGGAGGTAAGGAAAGGAGGGGAGGGGAAGGAGGGAGGGGAGACAGAGCAGCAGCACAACTCATGATGATGCGTTGGCGAGCAATGGCCCACGTCACTTAGAAGCCTGTGTGTATGCACGTGTGTGATATGGCGAGATGAACGTGAGGAAACCAGTTTGTCATTTGCATAATGCATGTGCATGTGTGTGTGTGTGTGTGTGTGCCTCTCTCTCTCTCTGTGTGCCTCTGTGTGTGCCTCTCTGTGTGTGCCTCTGTGTGTGCCTGTGTTTGTTTGCACGAGAGGAGATAGCTGACAATTGATACCGGCCATCCATGCGAGACAGACAAACCGACACCAACTCACACCAACCCAGGCCAATCCAAGGCAACAAAGCACAACACAAAGAAGCAAACAAGCACAAGTACGCACCCCATTGCTTGAGTTTGTCTGAGAGCCACTGGGAGGTCGACGGTTGCTGCTGCTGCTGCTGCTGTTGTGTTCCATTTGGACGGCGCTGTGACATGGCCCTCTGCCGTTGCTGGCGGTGGTGATGGTGATGGTGATGGCGGTGGTGATGGTGGTCCCACAAAGGAGGACAGTGAGGTGGTTGGTGAGAACGGAGCAGAGACATCGCCACAGCAACTGCAAGTGCTGTGCAACGCACGCACACACACACACACACACAACACACACACACACACAGACAGACACACACACACACAAACGCAGTCACACACACACACACATACGCACTACACATACAGCCACAAGGCCACACCGTCATTGCCTGCTGCTGCCGTGCCTGCGGTGACGCCCTCTGCTGTTGCTGTTGCTGCTGCTGTGCTGACCGCTGCCACCACCCGGTCGTTGTCCGCTGTCGTCCACCGTTCGCACCGCCCATCATGCCACGCTGCTGCTGCATCATACGCTGCTGCTGCATCATACGCTGCTGCTGTGGAGTCATTGTCCTCTGCTGCTGCTGCTGCTGCTGCTGCTGCTGTTGTGCTGGCGGCATGCGGCCGAGTGGCGTTGAGTACACCGATCCCGACGGTGATTGCCGTGACGCGGGCGTCCCAACACCACTCTGCACACCATCACGACGACGACCACCAACACCACTGCTGTTGCGATTGGCGGGAGTGTTCCCCCTCACGCCCCCTGCTGCTGCTGCTGCGGCTGCTCGCGGTGTGCTGCGTGTGCCGGGTGGTGGGGGCGTGACCTCTGCTGGCCGCTGTGGTTTCGGGGGCGGCGCGAGCGACGGGTGCATTGGCAGAGACAGGTCTGGGTCACTGTCGTCCGTCGCACCGAGCAGATCTGCACACGGGTGGCCAGGATGGTGGTGATGATGATGGTGGCGGTGATCATGATATGATGGCCAAGAGATGAATGTGAGGGACACAAAGGAAGCACGAACGGGTATGGGCGTGCGTGCGTGTGGATGTACGTGAGAGGGCGTGCTTGAGGGGGCAAGGACAGCAACGCCGCACCGTCTGTCTGGGCGAGGAGGAGTGTACCATCTGTTGCAGATGCTTCGCCGAGACCTGAGCAATGCACAGCAGTGACACGTGAGCAAGCAGTCGATGCATGCATGCATGCATGCATGCATGTGTGTGTGCCTGTGTATATGCGCGCGTTTGTTTGCGAGCGCGCATGCGTTCACATGTGTGTATCTTACCGTCTGCGCCCCTGAGGGAGATTGTTTTTGTTGGATCTGAACCGGAGGATGACGTCAAATCTGCACAGACACAAACGCGTGACAGGAAACAAGTGTCAATCAGTGGGGCAGAAAGTAAAGTGCTTGCAGGCACAACTACAGCACACCACGCACATACAACCAACAAACAAACGCACAACCAACAAACGCACAACCAACCAAAACAAACAAACAAACAAACAAATGATGAACAACCAACCAACCAAACAAACAACCAACCAAAACAAACAAACAAACGCACAACCAACCAATCAAACGAACAAGCCAGCAAACAGAGCAGGGCAGCAGCTTGTACCGAGGGCGTCATCGAGGGTGAGGATGCGTCTGCTGGTGCCGGCCTTGCCCGAGCGAAGTCGCTTGACCTGCGCCATCAGCTCCTCGTTCATGGCCTGGAGATGCAGCAGTTCGTCCTCCGCCACGGTGTTGTCGTACTGCGCGTCGCTCAGCTGCTCCTTCAGCCTGACAGCGAGCACAGCCAAGGGGGGGGGGGTTTGGCAGTGAGGGTTGTGTGTGTGTGTGTGTGTGTGTGTGTGTGTGTGTGTGTGTGTGTGTGTGTGTGTGTGTGTGTGTGTGTGTGCAAGTGCGTGATGGCTCCAAGTAGCAGACAGCGTGTGCGCTCTAACACGGTGCTTACTTTGCGTTTTCTGCCCGAAGCGCCTTCAGCTCCGTGTCTGTGTGCAAATTAGACCCAGGATGCTGGCCCTGTTGGAAATGCACCATGAAAACATACCACGAGACAAGGAGGATGAATTCAAACCAAGAACCAAACACAAACACCAAATACGGGATTCTGTGCACAAAGACAGTCACTCCATACACAGTGTCTTTTCCTTGATCATCAGCACCGCTCAGCATCGCAGTCCGCACCTGGTTTGCGACGAGGTGGTTGTGCTTCGCCCACAGCTGCTGCAGTTCCGCAGACTTGACGGACAACTCGTCCTCTAATTGCGCAATCTTCTCCTCCTGCACACAATCGTTTTGGAGCCGCGCAGGTGGAGCATGTAACAGCATCGGTGAAATGCAAGGAATATAGAGGACAGAGGGGAAGGGTGATTGCACGTAGACAGGCAGGCACACTCACACAGACACACAGACACTCACACACACGCACGCACGCATGCATACACACGCACAGACACACACGCACACACAGACACGCACACGCACGCACGCATGCATACACACGCACAGACACACACACACACACACAGACACAGACACACGCACACACACACACACACACACGGGGAGGACGCACGGCTTTTCTAAGTTCTTGGCGGACGATTGTGGCTGGTTCGGGCTGGGCCATCTTGGCGAGCAGGTCGTTGTGCTGCCCGTCCAGCACCTTGTACTCGACGCGAAGGTTCGCAACGAGCGCTTCAGACTGTCGCAGACGGTCACGTAGCGCCGTCGACTCCTTCTTCAGCCGCGCGTTGTCGTCACGCAGCTCCACCATGGCGGGATCAGTTGTCCGCACGTGCACAGACGATCCACCGCTGCCACGTGGCCGCATGGACTGTGCACGATTGCGCTGAAGCGACGCAGCGCTTGCATCATGTCCGCTGTCCTTCGTGCTGTCCTTCGTGCTGTCCTTCGTGCTGTTGGTGCGCGGGTTTCGGGCCATGACAGACCCAGATGAGCGCTGGCGGAACGAGCGGGAGGACGATGTGTTGGCGTTGTCGTCATCGGTGGCGAATCGAACCGACCGTTGACGCTGCGGTGCTGAAGTGTTGTTGCTGTCCTGGTTCTTCTTCGCCTTGGCTGCTGCTGCTACTGCTGCTGCTTCTTCTTCCTTCCGCAGCCTCTCTTGCTCTTCCTTACGAGCGCGTTCTTGTGCCTCCCGCTGTTTCCGTTCTTCCTCCTCCTTCTTCAGCCTTTCCTCTTCTTCCTTCTTCAGCCTTTTCTCTTCTTCCTTCTTGAGTCTCTCTTCCTCCTCCTTCTTCAGCCTTTCCTCTTCTTCCTTCTTGAGTCTCTCTTCCTCCTCCTTCTTCAGCCTTTCCTCTTCTTCCTTCTTGAGTCTCTCTTCCTCCTCCTTCTTCAGCCTTTCCTCTTCTTCCTTCTTGAGTCTCTCTTCCTCCTCCTTCTTCAGCCTTTCCTCTTCTTCCTTCTTGAGTCTCTCTTCCTCCTCCTTCTTCAGCCTTTCCTCTTCTTCCTTCTTGAGTCTCTCTTCCTCCTCCTTCTTCAGCCTTTCCTCTTCTTCCTTCTTGAGTCTCTCTTCCTCCTCCTTCTTCAGCCTTTCCTCTTCTTCCTTCTTGAGTCTCTCTTCCTCCTCCTTCTTCAGCCTTTCCTCTTCTTCCTTCTTGAGTCTCTCTTCCTCCTCCTTCTTCAGCCTTTCCTCTTCTTCCTCCTTTTGCTTCCGTTCTTCCTCTTCCTTTCGCTTCCTCTCCTCTTCCTCACGCTGTTTCCTCTCCTCCTCTTCCTGACGCAAACGTTCTTCCTCCTTTCGCTTCCGTTCTTCTTCTTCTTTGCGAGCGCGTTCTTCCTCCTCCTTCTTGAGTCTCTCTTCCTCCTCCTTTCGCTTCCTCTCCTCTTCTTCCTGACGCAAACGTTCTGCTTCTTCTTCCTTTCGCTTCCTTTCATCCTCTTCTTTCTGCTTCTCCTCTTCCTCCTTTCGCTTCCGTTCTTCTTCTTCTTCTTTGCGAGCGCGTTCCTCTTCTTCCTTCTTCAGCCTTTCCTCTTCTTCCTTCTTGAGTCTCTCTTCCTCCTCCTTCTTCAGCCTTTCCTCTTCTTCCTTCTTGAGTCTCTCTTCCTCCTCCTTCTTCAGCCTTTCCTCTTCTTCCTTCTTGAGTCTCTCTTCCTCTTCCTTCTTCAGCCTTTCCTCCTCCTCCTTCTTCAAACGTTCTTCTTCCTTTCGCTGTTGTTCCTCCTCACTGCCACCTTTCCCTGCAGCCTCCGCCCCCTTTTCATCTGTCGTTGCGTCGTCAGCGCGAGACGCGTCCTTCTCATCGCCATCGCCATTGTCATCGCGGGCCCCGTTCGTGTCCTTCTTCGACGATGCTGGCGGCTTTGTCACCTGCTGGCTGTGCGAGCGGCCGCGCATTTGGGGTTGCGTGTCGTTGTCGTTACCTTCCTCGGTCTTTGGCGGTGCCTCACTCGCCTTGGCCGAGTTGTCCTGCTTCTTTGTCTCTTCAGCGGATGCTGCTGACGTCTTTGTGGCATTGCCCGCTGCGTCCCCTTTGCTCGACTCTGTGTGAATGAAACAAACACAAACCAAGATGAAACGAGTGAAAGGTCACTCACACACACATGCACATGCACACACACACACTCACACACACACACACTGTGAAACACAAATACGCACACGCACACAAATACGCACACACACACACACAAGCACACAATCACAGAAATACGCACACACACAATCACACAATCACACAACAAACGTACTGTGCTTTGCCTTTGGCTTTCGGCAGTTGGTGCAGATGTTGGGGCGTGATCGGTGCGGCACAAACTCATCGCACGCCGATGTCGTCGCGGCCCTGCGACGACGATCCATGGTTCACACTACAACGCTGTGCGGACCCCTCTTCTTCCAACAAGAAGCAAAACCGACAACAAAAACGCAGCAAGAAGGCAAGTTGTGGTTGTGCCGTGAATTGCTGCAAAATTGTGCACCAGTCACGTCCACGCAGAAACCAGTAGGCAAATGCGCCGCCGGGCAGCACAAGCGCTGACACCGCAAGCGCGTGCGCTTGCACGGACAGGCCGAGCAGTACACTGCCTGCTACTGCGATGGTGGAAGCATGAGCCCAGCACTCTCGGCCCACCCACACGTCCTGCAAACAACAAATGGCGTTACCTGTAGTCGTTTGTTTTCGTGTCCTGATCAAAGCATGCACTGCCCTCCAATGCAAGCACTTCTTCCTTTCCTTGCTTGTGATGCGATGCGTCCTTCTTGCCTGTTGTGCCTGCCCTGCACGTTGTGCCTGCTCTCCCTCCTGCCAATCACGCAACTCAAGCGACGATGATTTGGCCTTTGTGTGTGCTGCCTTCTGCTTCCTTCTGCATTGATGTTGCGGAAATTCATTGAACATCTTCCATCAACTCTCCAGCCAATATTTTGAGCAAGACCTTCCAACCAAATCGACTGACAGTTGCTTGTGAGACGGCAGTGTGTTTGAGACCTCCCCACATCCATCGCTTCCTTGCTCCCTTTCTCTCTTTCGTTCCAAGAAGCACAACAGGACGACCAGGCAGTCATGAGTGGTATGTGCTGCACGAGCATGTGTGCGTGTGTGTGTGATATGCGTGTGAGAATTGATTGACCATGTTTGAGGCAGCGTGTGGTGATTGTTGTTTCGTTGCATGCATGGCAGACGCCCCTGCTTGAATCGTGTCAACGATGACTGACCCATGCTCCTCATGTGTTTGTCCTCACCCCCAATCACAGGCGACATAGGCTTTGCCAACCTCCCCAATCAAATCCATCGTGAGGTCACGCTCAAGGGGTTTGACTTCACTTTGATGGTCGTTGGTGAGTGCTTCTTCTCACTGGCGCTGTGTATGCGTGCGTGTTGGTGTGTGAGTGTGCCTGAGTACGTGTGTACATATGCTGGCTTGCATTCTTCGCGTTTGTGTGAGTCTTGGGCAACTGACGATGCTTATCAACGCTCCAATCACACACACACACACACACACACTCTCTCTCTCTCTATACTACAGGGCGGTCTGGATTGGGAAAATCGACGTTTGTCAACACCCTGTTCTCCACCGACATCTATGAAGAGGACAAGCCCTATCCCCCACCTTGTACGTCAAGTGTTGTGACTGGCTGAAGTCATGCGCCTTTTCCTGTACACGTGTACGTGTGCTCTTGTGTACATGCACTGCGTGATTTATGCTTGAGGTTACAGTTTTCATTGTTTGCTGCTGTTGGTCGTTGCGTACTTGTTTCTCACTCACCTTCTCTCTCACCCGGTGGTTGCCTCGTTTTCCTGCTTCCGCAGGTGCTCGCATTCCCAGCACAACCTCTGTGCAGGAGAGCGTGACAACGCTCATTGAGAACGACGTGAGTTGGATTCACCTCTTGCTGTCTGCAACTGTATGCGACGTTTGCACGTGCGTTGAGGGCTTGCGGATGCATCGCATGTGCACACGCCCTTTCCTGCTCTTGGCTGATGCTGCCTTGTGGTTCTCGCTCCCCCGCCCCCCGCTTACGCGTTCATTTCCCCTCTGCAGGTTCAGCTCACGCTCACGCTCGTGGACACGCCGGGCTTTGGAAACGGCATCAACAACACAGACTGGTGCGTTTGTACTGCTTCACATGGGTCCTCCAAAAGCGTTTGTCTGAGCTTGAACACTGCTGTAATGTATTTATGGATGGACGCATGGGCGCATGGACGCATGGATGCACGCATGGATGGATGGATGGATGGATGGATGGATGAATGAATGAATGGCGTTTAGCTTCCCAACTCAACACACACACACACACACACACACACACACACACACACGAATCCAATGTTCTTCACATCACCCTAATGCCCCTTTCTTTCATGACTTCTACTGCTTCTACTGCGTCCCCTGCTGGTGCAGCTGGGTCCCCATTGAGGAGTATGTTGACAATGCGTTCTCCAAGTACGAGGGCGAGGAGTCGAAGATCAGCCGCACGGATATCCGTGATTGCCGCGTCCACTGCTGCCTCTACTTCCTCACTCCTTGCATCCACGGGTGCGTCCGCACATTCGCATGCTGCTGCCGTGTGAATGCATGCATATATGTGTGTGTATGTGTGCGTGTGTGCGTGCGTGTGTGCGTGCGTGTGTGTGTGCGTATGTGTGTGTGTGTGTGGTGCGCGTTTATGCTGTCTGTGATGACGAACCAGGTTTTGGTTCTTGTCTCCATGCTGCTCATCTTCCATCGCTCTCTGATGTCGTGTTCCTCCGCTTCAGCGTCCGTCCCCTCGACATTGAAGTCATGAAGCGCCTGCACACGAAGGTGCATGCTCGTCTCAATTGCATGTGCTTTTTCACCAAAGACACACATCACACACACAGACACATACAAACACACACACACACAGGCACATACAAACACAGGCACGACACACACACACACACACACACACACACACACACACACACACACACACACACACACAACACGAACACACACAGACACACACACACACACACAAAACCCCCCCCCCCATACACACACACAAACACACACACCCAACTCATAACTGCTGCGCGTTGGACTGCGTGTTTTCTGTTCAGGTGAACATCATCCCCGTCATTGCAAAGGCGGATTCGCTCACAGTGGACGAGTGCCAGCTCCTCAAGGAACGCGTGAGTGCTTCGTTTTGTTGAAGGATTTGTTTGTTTGTTTGTTTGCTTACTTGTTTGCTTGAGTGTGTCTTGTCTGCGGTATGGCATGGCACGCATGCACTCGCTCATTTCTCACGCATCCCCACACACACAAACACAGGTGCGCGCCACGCTGGCGGAGCACAACATCAACGTGTTTGAGTTTCCCGAAGATGACGATGATGATGAAGAGGTGCAAGACGACGTTGCAAACGCCAGGGTACGGTCATCATCACACCTGCACACGAAAGAGAAGAGCAAGGGGCCCGTTGTGGCGAACTCTGGTTACACGTGTGCACGTGTGTGTGTTCGTGCGTTTTCTTGTTTGGCGGCGCTGACTGGACACAGTCTTCGTGCGCATCTTCTCTCACAGTCCTCTCCTGTGTGTGTATGTGTGTGTATGTGTGTATGTGTGTCATTTCAGTCTGCGTGGCCGTTTGCTGTCTCGGCCTCAACACAGGTACTCTTCGCAGATGATAAGGAAATGCGTGGCCGCGCCTACCCCTGGGGTTACGTCGAAGGTGCGTGCGTGAGCGTGTCGTTGTGTGTTTATTTGCGTGTCGTTGTACTTCACTTTCTCGCAAACGTCTCCAACAACAGCATCATCAACCCACACCCTCTCCGTTCATATTGCACATCTTTTCGTATCTCCAGTCGACAATCCGCAGCACTCGGACTTCGTTGGCCTGCGCAACCTCATCATCAGGTCTGAACGCGCGCGCGTGTGTGTGTGCATGTAGGTGTATGTGTATGTGTGTACGTGTGCGTGTGCGTGTGTGTGTGTATGTGTGTGCGTGTGCGTGTGCGTGTGCATGTGCGTGTGTGTTTCGCATGTGTGTGTATACGCACCTGTATGCTTGTGTCTTGGGGTTTAGAATTGACCGCCAAAACCAGGTCTCATCCCTGACTTGACGCGTCTTGATGGTGTACTGCATTGTCTGTGCAGAACGTACATGCAGCAGCTGATTGACACGACGAACAACGTCCACTACGAGCGTTTCCGTCAGCAGCGCCTCTCCAGCCTCTCTCTTGACACATCCATCAGGTCTGTTTACACACGGGTGTGTGCGCATGTGTGTTGCTGATCCTCGGTTTTCTGACTTGCCCATTCACATGAGTTTTACACGCACACACACGCACACACACTTGCAGTGGAAGCCCCAAATCGGATCCCAACAGCCAAAACTTCATCGAACAGCTCGAAGGACAGCTCGTAAGTCACTCACTTTGACCGTTTGCACCGTTGCTGTTGATGACACAGACACATACACACCAATGTACATACATGCACATGCACACAAATCTCCACACATACACACACACACACAATCTCCACGCACACCCGCCCCTAACGCCTGCACCCCTGATTGTTCATGTCTTTCCCCCACAGAAACAACACGAGAAGAAGCTTGTGAAGATGGAGCGAGAGATGACAGAAGTCTTTGAGAAGCGCGTGCGCGAAAAACAGCAGAAAATCAAGACGTGCGTGGACTATTGTCTGCTCCAGCGATGCTTCTGCCCCCAATAACACAGACACACACACTTTCACACACACACTTTCACACACGCACGCACACACACACACACACACACACACACACACACACACACACACACACACACACTTTCACACACACGCTCACACGACCACCCACAACACATTCCTTCGCGCGCGTGCCTGCAGGCAAGAGGCGCAGCTGCTGAAGGAGCACGAGGAGTTTGAAGAAAAGTTGAAGAAGCAGCAAAGGTGTCGTCAGCATCGCAGTTGTGTGTATGTATGCGTGTTTTCGCTTCTGTTCTGTACGCCCTTTGGAAGATAAGATGCTGAGCTCTGTTGCGCTGCACACCTCACCGCCACACTGCCTTGCATCGTCGATGCTCGTGTCACCCATGCAGGGAGCTTGAGATGCAGCGCGAGCAGTTTGAGCGGGAGAAGAAGGAGTACGAGGCCGAGGAGGAGAAGCGAAAGGCCGCACAGGCGCAGTCCACTGGCCGGCGCAAGAAGTTCTTCTGAGCACACACACACACACATGTGCACACATATGTACGTGCTGTCACTGATTGGTCGTCAACGGTGTTGCCGTTGCACAATTCGTTGGTTGAGTTGACGCGTTTGTCTTGCTTGTTTGTTGTTTGAGCTCCCTTTTGTCGTTTGCGTCATCTTGTTGCTGTGGTCATCATGCACAGTTTATCACCGTGTTGTTTGAGAGTAAGTTATGCCATGGCAGCGTCATGGCGTCCACATACACATACATCGCATATGGAAACTCTACAGCGGTCTTGCAAACCACATGTTTCACAGCAGACACTACGGACACGACACGACACGAAACAAACAAACAAACAAACAAACAAACAAACAAAAACACACACATTCACGCTTGTGCGTTTTGACTTGCTTCTTGCGTTGGCTTTAGTGGGATGGGGTGACAAGGGTGTAACACACATATGTTCACACAGAGACGGCTGCCGAGGGCGAGCGAGTGAACAGCCACAGGTAGCGTGGCGCGACTACACGAACGAATCATGTCGCTATGGGCACAGGAGAGGGAAGGTGGTAGTGAAACAAGACGAAAGAAGACCAAGACACAAAGCAGCGGCAGGGGAGAGAGGCAGTGATGGGAAATGGACAGGGAGCAGACGACAGGCACCAGCCAACGGCAGGACACTCCTGATCTGGCTTGGGGGTGCACCAACCATTTTCCAGTGCCACCATCGCACAAGTGTCAATGCCACTTCACCACATACCTCCCCTCTCACACAGACCAGCAGCAATCCCACTTGATGACACGAACACGATGCAACAGCAACACAACACACAGACAAGAATGACAGCAAAACCAGCAACGTCGAAAGCACTGGGACAAAAGGGTGTGCATACACACACGTGCGTTCATCAGCTCAGCAGAGTGACAGGAGCGCATGCGCACGGTCCGCGTCGCTTATGCTTCTGGGTGGAACTTGCGGTTCTGCTTAGCGTAGTCCTTGAGGATCTGAGCAGGCTCAAACTGGGGCCCGAGCGCATCGCGGTAACGCAACATCATGTCCACAAACTTGTCCGCGCCAAACGCGTCGACAAGGCGGAAGGGGCCGCCGCGGAATGGCGGGAAACCAATGCCAAACACAGCGCCAATGTCTGGTGGGGGTGTTAAGCGTTGTGCGCATGAACAAGTGTGTGTGTGTGTGTGTGTGTGTGTGTGTGTGTGTGTGTGTGTGTGTGTGTGTATGTATGTGTGTGTGTGTGCGTGCGTCAGTATATGAACACTCGTGTGCATGCAAATTTGACATGCCATCAAAGCAAATTAGTGAAACGTGCAGTCAACATACACACACACACACACACAGCGCTCTCGCCTCCCACACACGGCTCATGCGTGTCACCAACACAACCTCCCCTGCCCTCATCGTCTCGCTGAGCACTGAGGTAACTCACCGCCGACGACGGGGGAGCCGATGATGTCGTGCTGGAGGCAGAGCGCCGTCTCGTTGACAAAGCGGCTGACAAGACGCATCTGGATGTCCTCCACGCTGGTGAGCCCGCTGCTGGGCTTGCCGCGAAGCTTGCGCTGCTCCTCAATCATCTCAACAACCTCGGGGTTGACCGTCTTCTTGCCCTGTGGCGTACATTGGTGTGTGAGTGTGTGTGTGTGTGTGTGTGAGAGAGAGATATGAGAGAGAGAGAGAGTGTGTGTGTGTGTGAGAGAGAGATATGAGAGAGAGAGTGTGTGTGTGTGTGTGTGTGCGTGTGTGTGAGTGAGTGAATGTGAGTGTGTGTGAGGCGGGGGGGGGGAGTGAGTTGAACAGAAGCACATAGTTGAGCAAGAGTAAGGAACAGAGGGAGTGTGAGGAGGGGAAGCAGGTAAATCGCCCGTTTGAGGATGCAAGCAACGCAGGGTGGACAGAGGCATGACAATTGAGGGTGTGCACACGTACGCGTGGAGGGAAGATGTGCAGGCCCTTGCCCGTCTTGCGGCCGAGGAAGCCCTTGGCAACAACCTGGACACGAAGAAGAGCAAAGGAGAGCAAAGGAGGGCAGGTGCATGAGGAAGTGCAAACGAAAGCACGGTGCTCAATGACCACGGACAAGGCTCTCAGGGCGAAGCAAGCGGCGCAGGAACTGCACCAACAGCACCCAAAGCACCCAAGAGTAAAACCAACACCAGCACCAATAGCGCACAACACCACCGCAGCCACCTCAAGTGCAGGGTGACCGCCTGACCTTCTCGAGGAGCTCTGGGTCTGCGGTGCCAATGCGCTCGCCAAGATCGCCCTGGAGGGTCTTGCCGACGCTGGCGGCGGTGTCGATGCCAACCTCGTCGACGAGGGTCATGGGGCCGACCGGGTAGCCGTACTTGACCATGGCCCGGTCAATCTCCTCAATGCTCGCGCCGTCAAGCAGCACAGCCATCGCCTCGTCAGAGTACGGGCCCAGGCACCGGTTCACGTAGAAGCCGGGCACATCCTGTGGCAAGCAGCGGTGAGCGGTGAGCGGCGAGCGGCGATGCCGTGGTGGCAAATGTGATGAGGAGGAGCAAACCCACAAACTGCGTCGATACAACCACAGGCACAAACGCACGGTACACACGAAGCCCTCACACACGCATACAACACACTACAAAAACATTCATGTAGCCAGCTCCCTCGTCTGTTGTTGTCACACCTTGACGACGATGACGGTCTTGCCCTGCTTGAGACCCATGTCGTATGCGCGGGCGGTGGTCTCGTCGCTCGTGCCGGGGTGGCTGGCAGAACACACACACACACACACACACACACACACACACACACACACACACACACACACACACACACACACACACACACGCACGCACAGGGTACAGCGTGAGCTTTGGAAGTGGGCAGGCGATGGGGTATTGGCAGCAAGCAGCGACACATGAATTGCAACATGATGGCGGCGGCGGCGGTTGGTGCAAGCAGGGCGCACCGGATAATCTCAAGAAGAGGCATCTTGTCCACGGGCGAGAAGTAATGCATGCCGATAAACTGATACAGTACATCAACAAAGAGGCATCACACCACCGGCAGCAAAGCAGGGTGTGAGTGGAAAGCACGGCGGCTACATGCAATGCCGGCAACAGCACGAAAGGTCACAAATCAATACAGGTACACGGAAGCAACACCAACAAAGTGGCACCAAAGCGACAGCGTCAAGAGTGTGCCCCCACCTGCTCTGGGCGGGAGGATGCCTCGGCGAGCTTGGTGATGGGGATGGCGGAGGTGTTGGTGGCAAAGACGCAGTGTGCCGGGGTGATGGCCTCAAACTGCTTGATAATCTGTTCAAATACAAGAACAAACAAAGGTTGAGGGAAGACAGTGTGAACACATGCAATTACGGAGGCGTGCGTCAGTGAACGGGAGGGAGCGAGCAATGAGGCAGACTACTATGACTGTACATGTGTGTGTACGAGTGTACATTTGTGTGTGTGTGTGTGTGAACGTGGGTGCGAGGATACCTTGTGTTTGAGCTCGAGGTTCTCAAAGACGGCCTCGATGATCATGTCGGCATGGGAGAAGTGCTGCAAGGCGCGCCCACCAATCAACAGATGCGAACACACGGGTGAGCACATGAAACGTTGGACACACGCGAAACGTTTGACACACGCGAAAAAAAACTACAGACACACGCACACGCACCCAAACACACACGAACAGTGTCAATGGTACATGTGTGTGGACGGACCTTCTGCCAGTTGGCGTCGCTGTCGGTGAGGCCGACGATGCGGGACATTGTCTGGTCGCGCTCAAACCTGTGCGCACACGAAACATGGGCAGCGAGGCGTGCACAGTGCATGGCGTGAACAAGTAGCACCTTGCCCGAAAAAAAAAAAAGGCCAAAAAGGGCATGCAAACTCAAACACACACACACACACACAAAATGCCCCCTCCCCCATCCTCAAGGCAACAATATATATGGGAGTTCGCACGTGGTCATACGGCGCTTCTTTGTCTTCTTGTTGAGGTTCTTGTAGATCTGGTCCAGGCCGCGCGCCAGACCCTCGGGCTTGGCATCCTGTGCGCAACACACAGCCACGCACACGCATGATCAAGTAGTTGGTTAAGAGTCAGTTGATTGAATAGGTTGATTGGTGGATGGTGTGTTTGAGGTCAAGGGGGGGGGGGGGTTGGGGGCGATCTGGTGTCAGTGGCGGTTTTGTTGAGCAGCAGCATCGTGGCACCTTGAGGAGGATGTCGACGCCCTTGGTCATGGTCACCTCGGCGATGCCAGCACCCATCAGGCCAGCACCTGCCACACACGAGCAGGCAAACGTGGAATATCAGTGACACAAGCGACATACGCACATATGCAGTGAAGCATGCAGGCACTGAACGTGTACATGGGAAGGTACTCGATGCGTCGTCATGGGTGCTGTGCAGGCTTGATTGGACACGCACCGAGCACGCCAACGGTGTTTTCCTTGCGCTTGGGCTTGCCGTAGGGGTTCTTCTTGCACGCCTATCACGAGGCAGCAGTGGTAGCGGCAGCAGTAGAAGCGCAATTGTGAGTGTTGGGTGTGTGTGTGTGTGTGTGTGTGTGTGTGTGTGTGTGTGTGTGTGTGTGTGTGTGTGTGTGTGTGTGGTTGGGGAGAGAAAAAGAAGTGCACGCCCGCTAGAAAACGAGCATTGCACGTTGCACACGTTTTGTCGCGCTTACGGTCTGTCCAAAGTAGATGCTGACGAGGGCGCGGGACTCAGGGGTCATGCCAAGCTCACCAAATGCCTGCAGGCAAGCATGCACACACACACGTATGTGACGTGTCCACGTACAGGTGTTGTGAGAAAAAGTGTCACATTGGGGGAACTTACAAGTATGGCAGCGAACGTAAGTGTGTGTGTGTGTATGTATGTGTGTATAGATGGCACGTGCGGGCGCACGTGAGACAATGTATGCATGGTGTTTGTGCGCGAGTGTTCTCCGTTGATTGCCGTAGTGGAGTGCTGACCTTTGCTTCGGCCTCGTATCCGGCCTTGGAGCAGAAGCCGTGCTTGGCGCTCGTCTCAAGCACGTCGATAATCTGCGTACGACAGGCCGGGGAGGGTGAGGTGGTGGAAGGTGAGACACGAATTTAGAACGCACAAACGACGCAGGTGGAAGACTGGCAAAGACGTGTATGTGATGGACAATCACAAAAACACTCATGTGCACACGCACACAAAGACTTGTGAAGTCATTCGCACGCTTACACACACACACACACACTCACACGCACACACACACACACTCACACGCACACACACACACACACACAAAGACTCAACACATCATCACGGCACAGCACAGCACGACACGCGTGCAGTACCTTGAGGGGTGCTGGGTAGACGCCCTTTGTCTGCTTCATGACCATGTCGCGGGCCTTCTTGAAGGCAAAGTTGCGGCCAAACTCGGTACCCTCAATCACCTTGTTGATCAGTTTCTGCACGCCCTTGGGCTCGCGGTCCACCTTGAGCGTTCCGTCTGCCAGCCCCTTTGCGGCGAGCACGGCAGCGTGCTTCAGGGCGCTGGGATCAGCAACGTTGTCAACAAGCTGTTTTTTTTTTTTTCGGGGGGGGGGGGAGGGGGGTTCCGCGTGGTATGAATGATGGTGAGGATTGGAAGACAATTATTTTCAGATGCCATGCACGACAAGTAGCGAGCACATTTACACTGTCTGTCCGTTTGTGTCACACACAAACACACACACACACACACGCACACATACACACACGACGTGACACAGTGGCATCAGCAACAGACGAGGGGGATGTTTGCAACACCCCCCCCCCAAACACATCAAGACGGGTTTCATGCCGACCTTCATGCGCTTTGCCTTGGAGGGCTTGACGTTCTTTCCGGTCAGCATCAGGGGCATGGCGTTCTGTGGTTATAAACAACGCACGTAGACGGAAGTTGTAGCCAGTGGAGCGTCAGCGTGGTGTCGGCAACCCAGAAGTGAACAAGACGCAAAGCCAGACAGAGGGCATAAAGACAAAACGGCACAGAATGCACACACACACACACACACACACAGACACAGCCACGGCACCTGAAGGCCGATGAGTGCGGGGAGGCGCTGTGTGCCGCCGGCGCCGGGGAGGATGCCGAGCATCACCTCCGGCAGACCGAGCACCGTCTTGGGGCTGGACGAGGCCACGCGGTAGTGGCACGCAAGGGCAAGCTCAAGCCCGCCACCGAGGCACGAGCCGTTGATCGCCGCAACTTTGGGCTTGCCGCTGGTGGCGGTGGCGGTGGCGGTGATGGTGGTGATGGTGGAGGGGGAGGAAGGAAAGAGGTAAACAGCGTGAGCAAGCGTGCGCTGTGAACAGAGTTCCGCTGTCATACTTCGTGTACAACGCATCACATGAAACAATGTGTGTTTGCATTGCAACTCACGATGCAAGCTGGTCGAACATGGCGTGGGAAGGGCGGGACAGGTTCTCCATCTCCTCGGCCGTCTGCAAATTGGGCAAACACACGTGCGATGCAGCAATGAGGTATCGAGGCATGAGGGGCAGCGACAGAGTGTGCACGTTCGCGTTCGCGTTCGCGTGCGCGTGTGTAACTCTGTGTGTGTGTGTGTGGGCAAATGTGTGCATGCAGTCGCCATGTCATTGCTCCCGAGTACATTGTCGCAAACACACACAACACACAACACACAACACACAACACACAAGACACACCTTGCACTTGGTGAACATGTTGATGTCGGCACCGGCAATGAAGTTGTCCTCCTTTCCAGACATGATCACTGCTGCGCGGACCTTGGGATCAGACTCCTGTCAAGGTGGAAAGATGCGATAGTGAATGGCCATGTCGAGACAGAGCAGTGTGGTGAGAACCCCAGCCGCGATTGCAGTTACTCCGTGGTGTGGCAAGGAAACACCCAGACACCAGAGTGGGACACACGCACTCACGCACTCGCTCACGCACACACGCACACATGTAAACATGCACACGCACGTAAACATGCACACAACGACACACACGCACATTCACACAAGCACACACATACGCATACACACGCACGCACCAGGGTGGACATGACGCCCTTGAACTCGTCAGCGAGGTCCATGTTGAGCGTGTTGACCTTTGTGCCCTGGAGATCAAAGGTGACGATGGCAATGCCATCGTCCTCAATCTCATAGCGCACGTTCTTGCCACTCGTGGCAGAGCTGGCAGCTGCAGGATAGAATGATGGAAAGAAGAAGGCACGAATGGATGGAAGAAAGCAAGGATGGATGGAAGACAAAGAGGCGAGTTGAGTTGAGGTTGAGCCACTGGCAATACAAGGGAACAAAAGCACACGAAGACACATGCGCAAAAAAGTCCGCACACATATACACGAGGCATGTACACATCCACACAGGCGCGTTTATCCATACAGGCGCGTTTATCCACAACACGGCGCGGATCCGTGCTGGACATACCACGGGAGAAGCGGGCAGTGGCGCCGAGCAGGCGACGCTGCGCAAACACTGACAAAAACAAAGGGCAACACCAGCAACCATGAAAATGTTGTGAGAAGACGTGAGGATGTTTGAATACACACGCACACGCACATGCACACAAAAGGCGAACAAACCACCACAACACCACAACAGCAATAATACACGCATACACAGACACACAGACACAGACACACATACACTCCTCCTCACCAACACACAACACCATACGCACAACACACCTCGCAGCATCATTGTCTTCTTGCGAGCGAGCACAGAGCGTTCAGTGGTGGCAGAGAGGGAAAAAAAGTGCAACGCAGAATGACGACATGCCCTTTATGAAGTCGTGAACGGCGATTTGGTGCCTGGTATCCACCGTTTCTCGGATTCTCCCAAGATTGTGTGCGAAACGTATATTGGGGACGCACTGCGCACGTCATGACTCATCAAGACAGGAGGCGACGACACGACAAGCCAAGAAGCGAAAGGAACACAACAGTCACAACAACCAACATTCACACACACACACACACACAGAGCACACCAACAAAGGACCAACCAACCAACCAATCGTTCTTTCTCG